TCTAATGCACTGCTGCACTGTAACGCACACACATAGGCTACAGACCGTATTTGAGAGCCTGTTCTAGTACACCCCCAAAACAAAATCAAGACTTTGTAAAAGAGCACAATAGGACCCCTTTAAGGGTGATTTCCGATGACAGTGCTGTTGAAAGTAAAAATAACTTCCTTGTTTAAATCCCTGTTTGAATCTCTTTCAATATAAAAGTCTTTACTGCTGACTCACTCATAAAAGAGATGGTCTCGTCACCATCGAATGGCAGAATAATGTAACTAAAATCGCCATTACTTACACACACCTCAATACTAAATATTATTATTAAATGGTGGAACTAACGGTTTCTCCAGTAATGGCTGTAAACAAAGCAGCTCCGCTCATGAACGCTACTTTATCAGATAAAAATGCCATCTAAACTATTCTGAAGACAGTCGGTTCTCTTCAGAGATACATTCATATAAAACACCCGCAACGCGTTTTGATTTTGAAACGTGCAGTGCTCATGTTTATTCAACGAAGTCAAACGCCACAAATAAATCAATGTATGGGAAACACTGGTAATGTATATCGAAATATCGGATATGTGTTTAAAAATCATATCACTGTTATTGAAAAAAACTATATCGCGATACATATTGATATTTAATTATTGTCCAGCCCTAATATATATATATATATATTATTATACCCTCATTGGGGGCTGAGCCCCCCTAAAATGAAAATCCGGGAATCGCCCCTGTAGCCCAAGCCTCCGTTACTATTTTGAAAACGTCACTTTAGAACTAGTGACGAAGGAACTTTGAGTTGCTTCATTGTAAACTTATTGTATTACTGTATTAAAAGCTCACTGTATTATGAGAGAGAGATGGACTGAGCGAGTCTTATTACCTGCATAACAGCATTCATTCTTCAGCTCAATCTCATATTCACAATAAAACATTAGTTTGAATGTCTGCTGAGGAAAGCAATATCTTTGTCAGTACGACAAAGGATGACTTTGTCAGCCCTTCATTTGTTAAAGGGGTCATATTATGCTTTTTCACTTTTTCAACTTTAGTTAGTCTGTAATGCTGCCATTTGAGCATTAAAAAATATCTGCAAAGTTACAAAGCTCAAAGTCCACTTCAAAAGGAGATATTTTATTGAACAGAAATCACTTTTCAAAAACTACAACAAATGACTCATTTGGACTACAACGCATATTTTCCGGGATTTGTGATATCACAAATATCGACGAATGGGATGAGACCTGGTTGAGCTGCACTAGAGAAGGCAACGAGTGTTATCACTATGTCGGAGACACACTAGCTTTCCCAAGGCAGACGAACTTAGAGTGGTTACAATCATCCGGGTTTAAATCACACTCAAATTGATTTGATTTTGATGCAATATTTACACTGAAGCTCGCAGCCGGCTATGGTAAGGGGCGTGACATTTCCCGGCCAGGCGCCGAGTGCTGCCAATCACAATACACACTGGCCCAAAAGTAAAAATAACTTCCTTGTTTAAATCCCTGTTTGAATCTCTTTCAATATAAAAGTCTTTACTGCTGACTCACTCATAAAAGAGTCTCGTCACCATCGAATGGCAGAATAATGTAACTAAAATCACCATTACTTACACACACCTCAATACTAAATATTATTATTAAATACAACTATTATTTATATAAATATTTATTGAATAATAATATTTAATAAACAACAACAGCCATCATAAAAGTTGCTAGGCAAAGTAAAGACAGCATTAATACAGCATTAATGTTACATAAAATATAATGTGATGAGATTTTGCCCTATGCCAAAACTCTTTGCTCTGGAACAAATGATAGATTAATGAGACCAAAGACTGCCTGTTAGATTTACCCAAAACAAATTATATCTCATGTTTAATCACTATAGAGACATCAGAGCCAGCTGCAAATTCCAGAAGATCTGGCCAGGGTAAGGCTGCTCTCTGCAGGTTTATGAGTGCTGAACGGCCGCTGATGCCCTGGAGCTCACATTTCCAAAAACATTGCAGCAAATTTTCAAATACACGTTATCTTTATTAACAAACTGCATATTTAAAGTCTAAACAACTACATTCTCGCCTAAAAATTAGATTTTTCTGCATTACACTGATGAGAATTCATGTTGAAAATGTGCTTCATTAGCATCAAAATAATCACAATATCAGTCAGAACATTCAGAAATGTAGTTGTGTTACTCCACATTAAAGCATTCAAAACAAACATAAATAAATAAATAAAACCGCAGCTGCAGAAATCAAAACCTAGATTTCAATCTGTAGCCTAAACAACAGACTGACACAATCGCAGTCCTGTACATTTTGAGACAATGTCCAGCACCAAGAAATTTACAAAAAGAACAATGATTTGGTACCCGCTGTTCTTGGCAGGAGACGAACGTCTGGAAGCCTGGAGCCACTCCGAATCCCAGCTGATCGATGAAAGGCGGTTCATCCTGCGTGTGGATCTGGACTTTGATTCCCGCCTCGAAAGATGTCTCATCTGTGAGAGAAAAAGAGATGTGAAGACTGGTACTTAATGCAGGTGTCTCAAAAGAACAGATGATATCAGAACATATGGGCTGTGCTTTCAGCTTTTATCACATTATCAAACCGTCTCAAGTTAAACCCAAGAGTCAAGAGTCAGTTACTTTCATTGACAAAGTAAAAGAAGATCATGACAGTGGATGAAGAAAATGTGTTTTCTTCACAATGAGTGAAAATTGGTGCTTGTTCACCAATTTCAAATAGGAGCAACTGTAATAACACCTTCCTTAGCAAACACCACTAATTAAACCAAATTAATCTTAACTAAGAACCCCAAAACATGACTACAAAAACCTGTCCTGAAATACTTTACTTAAAGTGACTATAATAATAAATCAATGCAATAATGCTACAAACAATGTCAACTTTAAAGAAGAGATGATTGTAAATATTAGTTTTTTCAAATATAACCAACAAAACTCTAACTATGAATTCAAAATTTAAAATCAAGAGTAAACGTTTCTCTACCGTGACAATAAGACTAAGTAAACGTGAATAGTTTTGTTGATAATTGTACACCTACACAAATACAAGCCTACCATCTCCGTTTTCTTTCTTTTTATGTTCTCTTCCTACTTCCTACTAGGAATTAAGAATGCCCCACCTCGAATATGAATACAAACGGTGCATAAGACCATAACAACAAGTAATAATTGTGATAAAACATTGTGAATAATGCAACGAATGAGGTCGAGTTCAAACATTTGGTTCTAAACAAGAGACATCTGCAGGCATATTATATGCACAACACAAATTAGCAAACAGGAAATCAACAATATTCAAAATGAAAAAGAAATCAAACAATATGAAAACAGAACAAACCAGAAACAAACAGCGACACTGACAGGAAGAGAGATCTTTATATACTAGTCTCAAGGCATTTTAAACAGCTTCACGTCTGTAATGTTTTGACATTTAGCCATGTGTCATCCTCAGACTAAATGGGAATAATCCTCAGGTTTTGAGACGCGTCTCTATGGACAGCTAAGCAAACATCAGTGTTAGCACAGATTATAGGCTGCGTTTGACACTACCCGGTGTCATTTAAATACTTTAAATCAGTATATTATGGTCTAAATGCTGGCCTTCTTCCACAGCTTGCTGGATTTTCATGTAGTCCACAGAGCGGTCTACATGTGACACTACTAATGACTATTGTTACAAATGTAGTTCCCGAGCACATCCTCTATGAGCACACAGAGGAGTTACGGATGTCTCCCACCTGCTTTATCACCATTTTCGCCTTTTAAACATCTGCTTAATGATAATTAACACACAAACAGAACAACATGTGGGAAATGATACAGCCGGCCACAGTAATCTCACAGATGCCCCGTTTCATGAATTGTATATTAGCTAAACTTGTTTTATGACACAAGCCCCAGGTTTGTCATTTAATCCTGACTAGTCAGGTTTCTGGATTTTACAGTGTAAACTCTGGACTAATGTTCTTATTTGCATATTTACAAGACTGGACACAGGGTGTACAGTACAGGGTGTACAGGGTGAGATGAAAAGTCTGAGAACATGTTGAAAATCTGGGATTTTTTCCTTTTAAACCTTTCACTTAAAGTCTTGCCAAAATATTCCAGCACTCTAGTTTCATGTTGTACCACTTTGGTATGTAATTCAGGGTCAGCAGCGCTTTATAACCCAGGGTTAAAAGTAATGCTAACCCCCTTTCGAAAGTGTGACACATGGGTTAAAAAGATGTTAACCCAGGGTTAAGCACAGTGTGAAAAGCCTTAGAGAGAAACAGTGCAGTGCAGAGTTTCTGAAGGAGTCTGGCATTGTCAAGACTTCGAGACAGCTGCTCTGTAATTACAGAGAGATCCAGTCAGCTGTGGAAGAGATTTCAGGACAGCGTTCACCCGAGTAACCAGAGTGCTGCTTGGAGGATGTGATTAGATATCGGAGACCTTCAAGAGCACCTGGCGTATGGAGAAATTTGAAGGAGCGTGAGCAGAACTTCTCTGGAAATCACAGCATTATAAAAACAATCTCGGTAAATGTTGGGTGGTGACACAGGCAGGTGCGCAGGGTTTCCCATCTACCCCCTCTCTCTTTTCAATTACAGAGGTGTAGAGAGGTTAAACTGGTCCCACTGAGAAACAGATGCGAGTGAGGTTCACTTGCTCCTCTGGACGTATCACATCACTTGTAATTGGGTTGCAGCTGTGACGTGTGTTTGGGTATTTGTCGTTTTCTGATCAATAGGATTTGGCCCGATGTCACTTTCTGCATTTTGAGTGCTAAAAACTTACTGAACTTTACCTGAAAGGTCAGACATTTTCTCCTCGCAGCATTCTGACCTTCTGCTGGCAAACATGTCCAATGGCTGCTGTTGTTGTTTACTGCGGTGTTGTGCTTGTTCAGTTTTTAGGCTCGGTCTGATAAACTGTTGTTCTGAGTGTTGACCTGGTTTTTATGGTGGTCTACAGCTATGCTCCAAAACCTAGTGAGCTCCCTATTTAGCATTTTAATGCATCGTAGGCATAATTGTTGCCTTGTAAAATACCTAATTTTGGCCAAATTCTTTGTTTGCATCATTGTTGCAATTCCAGAATAAACTACAATAAGCTATTCAATATGGTGGATGACTCGAGACAAGCGGTTTAATCTAATAAAAATGACTTATTAAGCCTATATGTGTGTCAATATTAACAACATGCTGACATCAAACTGCATTAGAATCAATTGAGAGTTGAATTGAGCATTTCAAATCAGTTGCTATTTCAGTTAAGATGCAGCTAAGAAGTGTCTATGCCCGCTAGCAGTATTTTTTTATGGATCTGAATCGATTCTGTCCCTTGCGGTGTGCTTTGTGACATGAATGTTCATTTAACAGTTCATTCACAGTCCGTTCGGTTTAACCTGTTGATTAATATTAAAGGCGGAGAGTCAGTCTAGCAAACACTGATTAATCCTAAACTAAACCCTCATTAGCAGATTACTGACATTTAGACGGCTCAGGTCATGCTGATTTTATGCAAATCTGCCTGGAAGAATAGGTGGAATCCCAAAAGTTTCTGCTGGAATCATTTTAGTGTGGATTCATCTTAGGAATAAGCAACGTAAAACTAGAGATCTGCTGGATCAGGATCTGAAAAAGATGTTTCATTCCTCAGGAGACTGAACGGATTCAGCTAAATGCAATGCAAGTATCAGCTTTGTCTCAAATTTCTCCTATAGTTCTTTAGGAGAAATACAAACAGACACAAATAAAGCAACTGTTCACATTCGGGCTGGTTAATATTATGGGATCTCATCTAAAACTGAGAAGACACATGAGATTACTAGGGTTAACGAGACGTACCAGTCTCTCCCCACACAGGCAGATACTCATCCTGCTGGATATCCAGCATCAGCTCCAGCCCATTTCCCATCCCTCCCTTCATGGTGATCAGCAGTGGCCGTCCATCCTGTCCAGAGTTGAAGGTGTAGCATTTTCCATAGCGTGTGAAGATCTGGAAAAAAAAATAAACAAAGGGGCTTTGAGCACTTATTGCTTTCAATGATAGATGAATTTTAACTTCCTTTACAATAACTCAAATCTGAAAATTAAGATTGCACTATTATCAATTGTAGAAAGCAGGCGATAAACAGAATTATGTTTAAAGATTTTCTATTTATCACAGCAACATTAATTCAAGTGATTATCAAATGATGCTGAATAATATATAATCTAGATATAATTAATCAAACAGAACATTTCTGAATGCCCTTTATAAATCTTAATAGAAATATCTGCTTATATCAACACAATCATATTCCTTAAAGTTCAAAGGTTCTTCTGAACAGGAATGACCCAGTTGCACTTCCAGCTAAAATCAAAATCTTTCAAGTAAGGTTTCAGGAAATCGTTTGATTAATTATAGAGCATCTCTAAGTCATGACGTGATCTACACTGGGGCAGAAGGGCTATCCAGCCAGTCTTAATTGAAACTGAACTAATGGACATCTAATCAGATCACAGTCAGCAGGATATGGAGAGCATGGCGCCTCAGAAACACAACTGCTCCTCGCTGCAGGAGAACCTGATTACCATCGCAGACAAATGAGAACAATTCAGTGTAAAGGAAATGAAAAGGCCTCGTCTTTAGAGAACTTAGTGACGTTATAAAAATGGTAGTGGCTCTCCAGGGAATCGCATCTCAGAAATAAATGCAACATGTGTCTGGATACAGACAGCCATCTTTACCTCTTTCTCTTTGAGAGAAAAACCTCTCAGTGCCAATGAAGGATGTGTCAGATATCAGTTGGCGTGTGATGAAATGCTGCAGACAGACAGATGAATGGTTGATTCAGCCAATGCACATGCAAATATTCACAGATGGAGCGCTTATATAAATACATATCCTGGCAAAGACAGCAAAAAAAAAGAGATACAGATTCTGTTCTGAGACTGAACTGAGAGTGTCATGATTCTAGACATGAGTCAACAACTACCAATTTTACCACTTTTTAAAAAAATGCCAACACTGATGCATTTCAATAAATCACACAGTAAAATAATCAAGTTAGCATTTTATTTATTAGCATTAAATTACATTTAATACGTATTTGAGAATTATTTACAAACATTAGTCCACATTTTATACTTACAAATTATATTTTTTCATCAAAATGTTTTTACAAAAAAGGTATTATAATTACACTCTAAAAATGCTGGGTTAAATACAACCCAGTGCTGGGTAAAATAGGGACAACCCCAGCAATTGGGTTGTTTTGACCCAGCGGTTGTTTTTAACCAGTTGGTTAACTACCCAGAAGTTTGGGTTAAACATTTAACCCAACCGCTGGGTCAAAACAACCCAATTGCTGGGTTTGTCCCTATTTTACCCAGCACTGGGTTTTATTTAACCCAGCATTTTTTAGAGTGTATACAGAAAACTCGAACTCTCATCTGAGTTAGCCATCTAGATCATTTAACCAATGTGAAAAGTTGACAAGCAAAACTTACAAACACATGCCACATAAAACCACAGAAAAGTCCGCAAGGCATAATAAATATATCTATATATTCAGCGCCCAATCATTGATGAGACCTCATTGTTGTTCATGCCTCAAAACCTTGTATGTTGCTAACCTAAACAGCATTTTGGGGCATTAAAGAGTCATTTTTAACTTTCAAAAAGCACACAAGATGCCCAAAAGGAACAACCACTATAATGTTTCTAAAAGCTCTTGCCTCTTCCAGACAAACATATTTAAAAGCATCAGAATAATTGTTCCCTTTTGCCATTACCAACAATAAGTGCTCCAGAGCTTCTTCTACATCTAAACTACTCCTGATGAGATAACAGCGTCTAAAGCGTTTAGCAAACAGAAGCGAGGCTGTAGCCAAGACGAGAGAGTTGCTGTGGTAACCGTGGCAACACAGCGTAGTTGGCTAGGGTTGCGTTGACCTTGGGACGCAAGAGAGTCGATGCTAGTAGTCTTTCTGAGAAACTTCACAATGAAGTCCCCTCAACGAGGCCATCGGTCCATTGAGCACAGATAACTGCATGTTATTTTGAAATAACGGGCCTTCGTGAGGACCTTAATATGCTAACGGTGCTTTCGAAAATATTTACAATGGCAGAAAATAGTCAGGAACACACTGCATGTGCCTGACTGGAGCATTATTCCAGTTACTTTGAGGACAGAAACACATTTGTTTGTTTGCCAGAATTTATAAAATGGTGTACTTTAAATACCTTGTGTTCGGGGTTTGAACAAATGACTAACCCATAAATGAGAGACAAATGACCAAACAACACTATCTAATATTGCATTCAAAAAGAGCACTAAGGTGTTAAATTATTAGTGCCAAAGCTGGGCCACTGAGTGTCATCAAGCATCTTGTGTGCGCCTCTGCTGCATTAATACAAGAGAACTGCCTCCACTGGGGCTGAAGACATCAATAATACATTATCATTTCTGCCCTTTGTAACAGGACTTTATGAAAAATGAAATTACTTTAAAACTTTCTGGCCGCTGAGGGGAGTTTGAAGCAATGAGGCGCTCCGATCTCCCAGTAGGACGCTGTCAGTTGGCAGACTCTGTTCAGAGACTCCGTTGACTGGAAAAGAATCACGGGGGAGGAGCGGAGAACTTACAGCCTTAATCAGCGGTTTCTTTGAAAATAAAACCAGACACAAGAACTTAAAAAAGCAATGTGAAATGGTCACATCTTCTAAAGAACTGGATAAATATTATGCAAACTACATTAAATTCCAAATATGCATTCAGGGCCCAAAATTTCCTTCTTTCCATATGTGCCAAGTCTCCCAACATTGAGTCAATAGAGAATATGTATTAAATAGTAATTTATGATAATGAAACAGTATTATTTGTGCGAATGCGTTTGATATAAAACAACAAAGAACATTAATTTGACAGCTTTTATTAATACTGATTATATACCTTTTTGTTCACTTTGTTCAATGTTCCAGGGTGTCCGCGGGTCCTTAAAAAGTCTTAAATAACGTTTTCCTAATATAAGGCCTTAAAAAGTGTCTTTAAAATTGTCTTAAATTCAGACTCGATGGGTCTTAAATATTTTTGGTCACATTACCGCTCAAATATCTTCAGTCTGACGAAGCTAATGACTTTACAATCATTGGACAGACCGAAGATGTTTTCTTCCCCCCGGTAAGTTACTGCGTCATCAGAGAGAATTGCCTGATTAAAACATAAGTGACGAAAATAACCAGCCAAGTATCGAATAATGATTCTTCTAATTTTATTAGCCTACATTCAATGTAAACAGCGATTGATAATGGATAGTATATTTCTGGTATCAAGGTCGCGCTGTTGAGGCTCACTCTGTTTGTCTCTTTGTGAGAGACTTCAGAACAAACGAGCGTAACAGCACACATACACTCAGAAGAAACACAGAGGTAAAAATTCAAAATGTTTAGTTTATTCACAACATGATATAGTTAAGTAACACCATGACAAGTGAGCTATTTTGCTCATTATTCTCACGACGCAAAAAAAACATTCAAAACACCTACAGAGTGCACGCATTACGTGAAGTCTTGTGCATGTGCGCATTTATAATGAGCTCTTTTATGGCATGATTCAGTCTATTAAAATACATTCAGAATGATCACAAATTCAAGACATGGGGGCAGAAAATGTGTATATTTATACCACTTCATATAGTTAATCAATTTCACATGAAGAGTGCTTTTTTTCCCCAAAAATTACCATATACAAATGTGATGCTGATTTTGTTTTTTTACAACAGTTCAATAAACGAAGTTTTATTTAGAGACTTTCGTTTTAGACACCATATTGCCTGTTTTTGCACTATTTCGCCAACAAAAATAATTCCAAACAAAGCCACAGCGCTGTTTTGCATCTTTGAGTAACATGAGGGTGTTTCGTTCCTGAATGAATCAACCGTTGATTCGGTTCAGTCGCAATGACTCACTTATTGACAGTAACTTGCTGCCACCTATATGTCAAGTTTTAATTTGACATTTAAAGTATCTTTAAATCATTTCAAGTATCAGTATTCAACGTTTTATTTTTAATATATCAAACCATTTATGCATTTGTAACTGCAGGTTAAATGCATTCATGTCCTGCATTAAACAGTGTGTATGCCAATTCAGATGCAGTTTATGTCTGGATTGCAAAGATGAATTTTGTTGATACTGATCAGCCCAAATGTCTTATTATTTTAATTCACTGATTAAATGTAAGAATTTGGCTCAAAAGATAATGCACACTTTTAGAAAAAATGGCTTTATAAAGGTACAAATGCCCATAAAAGGTAAAAATCTGTTTAAACTTATTGGAAAAGATTCATTTCTATCTGACCACCACACAGAATATGAAGAATATCAAAAACTTTAGAAGTCAGCTGTCCACGAAAGTCCTTAAGATACCAGCATGATAACACGCTCAATCAGTTGAATGAATGATTCAATGACTCACTCATTTAGTGACTTACCGCCACTTACTGGTAGTTTAGTTGAGAAGTTTGTTGAAAAGTATGCATTTTTCCCCTCAACATTTCTTATTTGTATATTCATAAATGCATTTAAAACATTAATCTCGTAACATTATTTATTGCAGTTGTAATTATTGTTATTTGCAGTGTATATTATTTAATCTGACTGGTAGCAGCCCTATAGTGTATATTGAATTTATTGATAAATTCTAATAATTTGACATGAAAGATGATGCATACATCTAAAAAGGTTAAAAATAGGTATTTGTAAAGGTAAATAAAAATATGCAGATTTAAGTATGTAAAAGCTGATAGAACACTGATGAAAATATTGCTTCAGAATAAATTGTTTACTCCACCAAAAATCTCAGTGATATTTTGTATGGAATATTGTCTGCTGATATGAAAAGTCCACTGAATATCGTAGTAATACATATTTATTACAGCAGTGATATTTTGTTTTCTTTTTTATTTAAAGAAATTAAATATTACATGTATGTAATAAAATGTGTATTTCCA